ATTCATGTTATTTATTTATTTTTATTTTTATTTATTTGTTTATTTTTAATATTACTAATTTTATTTGCTTGCTTATACTTATATACCATACGATAATAATAATAATGAATAGAACCTATGGTATAAAGTAAAAATATAAATGGTTATTCCAATACAAATCTCAAATTATTACCAATTACTCTAACGATGTGCGATTCATGATGTATATTAATTGTATTTTGAATTGTATCATGAATATTATGAATTTTATCATTAAAACTAATACAAGATAGGAATAAGAATCCAATAAACGATGACTTAGTCTAGAACATATTTAATTTCAAATTATAAAAAAGAAATTGTGGTATTTAATTATTTATTATTATCTGTTATCAATGTTATTACTATTGTTTCTGTTTTTGTTACTATTACTTTAATTTTGTTATACTTTATTCTATTTAATGTTATTCTTTAAGTCGTTTAACAATATCTATAAAAAAAAAACTATGTTACACCATTCTAGTATTAATTGATAACTGGTTATGTTTTTTGGAAACTGGAGTTTAACAATTCAACATCAAGCCCATGTTTTGTAACTTACATTATTGCACTCCGGACAGTTAATATATATAATTTAAATGGTTTTTAATTTTTCTTTTGGTTGTTGTAGATGTGAAATCCCACAGTGTGACATAAACAATACAACGTATGACCCCGAATGGTTATCAATAGCCGTGCCTTTAAAAGACTCTGTTAATCATGAACCTTATAGATGTATCAGATATAAATATAAATATAGTTTTTCATCAAATAAGATGGACAATTTCACCTATAATATGTGTACGCCGGAATTCTTCAACATTAACTTCACTGAAAAATGTGACATGTGGGTGTTTACCGATACGGAAAAACCATAGTAAACGATGTAAGTTTAGCCATGTATTGTTAACTGAAAATTATTTGTTGTTATTCATTACCTATTCTTTCCCTCAATAATAATTATACTATTACCATTTGGTAAAAACTAATTTTTTTATAGTTTAATATCATGTGTGATGAGAATAAATGGAAACTCAGCATGGTGGGAACTATCAATAGTATGGGTCAGCTTATTGGCATTCCTATATCAGGGTTTATTTCAGATAAGTAAGTTCTTACTTAAATTTTAATTATTAATTGAATAATAATTAATATTTTTTTTTTTACCGATTTCAAAAAAATTAATCGTACTCATTGATTTTAATCTGCATTCCGTTTCAAACAAGTTCCCCATCTCCTGTTTAAGTCTTCTTATTAAATTGCATGTTTCTTTAAAACTTCAATTTGAAATTACTCTCAAATTAATCTCAAAAGATATACAGTTCCTTAGATATGCATGAATTTACTTCTCCACAGATCTGAAACAATTTAAATATGTAATTATAATATTGACAAATAATTTAAATACAAGCAATTATTGAATTTCAATTTCAATTTAATTACATAATAATGTTGGAAATTATTTAAAAAAGAAGGAAAGGTGTGATTAAGTGGCAAACGTTATATACCAATACAAATGAAGAAGATGAACTTTAGTAAATCATCCATGTGACTGCTCAAGATCTACATCAATACTCTTGTTATAAATAATAATTATTATTATTATTATTAATTATTATACTCGTATTTCATAGGTACAATAATAATTTAATCTTAGATTATGATATTTTTTTTACTCAGATCATTGATTTTTTTTTCAATTTAGTTACAAATCAATTAAGTTCACAAATATTGTTAATTTAATTTACCTTCAATTAATAAGTTAATATATTAATAATTTAATCTAAACAATTGTTCTCATTATTTATCAAAATAAGTTGAATAAAAATATCTAGTTAAAATTTATATAATATATTAACAAAACACTAATCATGATTTAAGCATATAAGAAAATCATATATAAATGTTTTTTAATTATAACTATCATTAATATGGTACTTGAAAGTATATAAAATTTACATAGTATATAATAATAAATAAATAATAATGTTAATCATTTTGTATTGTTGGCTCTGTCAAAAATAATGTAAGCTAAACATTTTTGTATATTATGTAATTTTAAACAAAGTGTAATTTTAGTAAAAAGAAGCATTTTAATTTCTTAGATTACATTAGTTTCAAAACAAATTTTGTTCTATTTCTTTGCATAATGTAAAGCAAAACATTTTATCAAATTATATCTGCACTTTTTTTTTTTATCAAGGTATGGTCGAAAGTTTATTATGATTATTGGATCAGTTTCATCTACCATATTCGGCACAATTCGATCATTCACATACGATTACTACTCATTTATTCTTTTCGAATTTTTGGACTCTATGATTTCTAGCGGAGTATATGCAGCTACATTTGTTCTAGGTACGAAATTAACAGGAAATTTCAAATTTTCTCAATCTAAATGTTTATTTTGATTTACTAACGTTTAACATCTTTCTGTAGCCTACCAGCTAAACTATAACCGATTTCTAATTTATTGTTCATTATGAATGATTGTTTTTACAATATTAATTATAAATAATTATATGATATTATTCTAGGTCTGGAATTAGTCAGTCCTAAATCACGAGTGATGGTCAGTAACCTGATTTGTTGCTTCTATCCGGTGGGTGCAGTTTTTATGGGTTTTGCAGCATATATGTTTCTCGACTGGAGGATAATTCTTAGGGTACTTTACTTGCCTGGCCTACTAATATTGGGATGTATTTGGTATGTATAATATTTTGTTGCTATATATTGCACATATGTGTATAGAATTATACTTTAAACGTTTTAAATTTTGATATATAGGTATGTACCAGAATCTATGCGATGGCTTCAAACACAAAATAGAATAGAAGAAATGGCTGGTATACTATCCAAAATTGCTAAATCAAATGGCAAAACATTACCATCCAGCGTTAAAGACGCACTTATTATTAAAGATCAAACCACAGAAGCGGTAATAACAGGGCCGCTCTTAGGATTTGTGAGGCCCGGGGCCAAAAATCATTGTGAGGTCCTCCTAGTTCTCACCCTCTACTTAAATATTTAATTATAAATAAAATGTTTTATTATAATTATAATTTTTTAATTTTACGATAGCGAAAAAGTAAATAATACATTTTATTATTCACTTATATAAATTATTATAATATTAAACGTTAACTTTATTATTGATGTTTATATATATATATAAAAAAAAAGTAGAATATTGAAAAACAAATATATAAATTTAAACAAAATTAATTTTCCTTGCTTTTGGATGATGCCATATCTCCAAGTAACAAGTTTAAGCTGTGAGCTGTACATGGTACAATAAAATTTTTGATTTTCCGAAATCATTCGAGATTTTACTCCTTTATACTGTCCTACCATATTCGCCCCATTATCATACGCTTGGCCTCGACAATCTTTTAAATCAAAGCCAAGTTCTTTAAGTTGTGATTTTAATTCATTAGTTAAACTAATTCCAGTTGTACTAGTTACATGAATAAAACGTATAAAATATTCGCGAATACTGGATTTATTATTATATAATACCTCAACAATACGTAATATTAATGTTAGTTGTTCTTTATGACTTTTATCTGGAGTGCAATCTAATTGAATACTATAGTATTTATTTTTCTTCACATGATCAATTATTTCTTTTCATATCTCTTTCGTCATAATACTTATTAATTCATTCTGCATATTAGGTCCTAAGTAATGATCATGAATTTCATTAGAACTTATTTTCCTTAAATGTTCGACCATAATAGGATCAAATTTCGCAATTATTTGAATAAGACCCAAAAATTTACCGTTGTTTTTCGTGTATAATTTACTATTTTTTCCTCGAAATGAGTCGTTGTTTTCCGCTAAAAATTGAATAAAGGAAATAATTCTTTTTAAAACATCACGCTAATGTTTTTTTCGGAATTAATATTTTTTTGAAAATTTGTATCAATAATCGTATTGCATTCAAGGCCCTTTCTTATATTTAACCATTTGTTTTGTGCAACAATGTGATAATGAGATATTTCGTGCTCTTTTAATCGATTTTCTACATGTTTCCAATCTGAAAAACCATCAGTGGCCAAATTTGAATTGGAACAAGTAGACAAAGTTGATGAAAATAATCGACAGTAAAACAAAACAATTTATCTTTTGATTTTGAATATACAAGCCAATATCTATGTACTTTTTCGTTATTTGACATAATTCTATGGTGGATTAAATTTCCTTCCGTTTTCATTTAACCCTACAGTTAATGGGAAATCAAAATTTTTTAAATAATTTGGAGGGTCACGTTTTACTAAAAATATTCTTACGGCATCAGATATAATATCAGGCCACTTACCTATATTATCGTCGAGTTGTACAGTGTTATTAATTTCAATATTGTGTTCATTAATAGATTCCACTTCGGCATTTTCTTCACCTGTTCCATTATTTTCGGATTGGTTAGTGTCACCAAAAATACTATTACTATATTTATCACTTTCAAAAACGGTTGATTTATTTTTTAGAATTATAATATTAGCTGTACTATTATTTTTATGAGAGTGACTATTTTCACTTATTTTTATCTAAATATTCACTGTCATTAGATGTTTCTATTTTAAAAAATTTATTTAAAGAGCCACATTGTGATAGTTAATGTTTTTCTTTAACAGCCTGTCTTTTTCTCTTTTCAGATCCACTCAAAAACGTTCTGTTTTTATCTCGGTCATGACCACTCATTTTAAATAATTCAAATTTAATAAAAAAAAAATAAATACTATGGTTTTAATAAAATAATAACTACTAGCCCGTTCATACGTAAACGAAAGAATTTTACTAGTGATTATCCGGTATTTGTCAAGCAGACGCGCGAGATACAGCTATCGTACCACTCATTATACTTGATATTTTTAGAAATTTTGACGAAACACCCCGCTTTTCCACTACATCAGTGATATGTGTTCGTGTGACCATTGAATGGCACGTGTCAATAAGATAAAAACCGCCACGGTCGTTCATAAATAATAAATAATAATCATAAGATAATATAATGAGATAATGTTGTCGGTCGATGAGCAATAAAAGTTATTACATATTGAAAAATGATATAAATGATTTTACATTATATCATATTATATCTTTTTCTGCAATTCATAGTTCCGAAAAAAGTTTAACATTCAAGTGCGAGGCCCCTACAATGTTCGAGGCCCTGGGCATGGGTCCCGCAAGCCCCCCCTCCCCCCTAAGAGCGGCCCTGGGTAATAATATTACAGTATTGGTACATCCAATGCTGTGTTCAGGTTTTACAACACACACTATTAAAAGGGAAGGAAATAGCAGGAAAGTAGCCTCCTTTACCTTTTTTTTATATCCATCTGGTATGATATTATTTTAAATAGTAGATAGTTAAACCTACATTAGTATCACTGAACCTGTAGTAGCCTGTACTAGCTTAAACAATTAATAAATAATACTGTAAAATATTTAAAATCAAAATGCAACTGGCTGTAATTGAAAAACATTTTTATAATTCGAATTGAAATCATTGTAGTCGAAATTTAAATCAAATGTTTCAGTTTTTAAAATATATTACATTTTATTTCCTCCTTGAATATTTTATTTTGCAAGTGTTAAGAATTTTTTTCTAATTAATTAATTGAAAAATTATCTTCATAGGTATTTCAAAGATGTATTACACATTCTTTCAACTATTATTGCCTCATTATGATTCTTTTTCATTCTTCTCTACCTTCTATGTTCCTTTTAAAATATATTAAAAATCACCAATCACTGTTGTTTTGATATTGACAATGTTTATTTCGATGTTATAATTGAAATAATGCTTTAAATTACACCAAAAAGTATACAATTTTACCGAATAGGTAATATATAAATATAATTTCAGACTAAAGATAGCGAATTGTCATTTATTAAATTGATGAAAGAAATATTTGATTCGAAACAAATTTTTTTACGGTTGATCAACTGTTCGTTTTGTTGGTGAGTAATTGGCTACCACGTTTTTTTACGATGCTTAAACATATAAATGTGTTTTGATATTTTCAGGGTTACCATAACCTTAGTTTATTATGGTCTTTCGTTGACATCTGTGGAATTCAACGGTAACAAGTACTTAAACTTTATGCTTATAAACGTTATAGAAGTACCGGCGTGTATAACATCCTGGTACTTTATGGAACGTTTTTCCAGAAGAAAAACCCAAGCGTTTACATTCATTTTTTAGCGGCATCGGTTGTATTTTAGTTATAATTCCTTCGAGTAAATGAATTATTCATATTTTATGCTCAAATATTTATTAATTGTGTTATTACCATGAAAACTCTTATCGTCTCACAATTAGTTGTACTCATTCCAATAATGTAGAATTCCGTTTGTAATAATTTTTATTTTGCAGATTTACCAGGGTTTCAACTGTTGTCGTTTTTGGGCAGTAAGTATGCCATTAGCATGGCGTTTAATTCTATGTACGTGTATACCGCGGAAATGTTTCCCACTGAGCTACGCATGTCTTTATTTGGTATAACGTCAATGTTCGGACGATTGGGTTCCATGTTGGCTCCGCAAATGTCATTATTGGTGTGTTAAAAAATATTGATTGTTATACGGTCGAATTTTAAACTCAAAATTAAAAAAACCCTCTTCATAATAAAATGTTACTTTATATTGCAGGCCAACTATTTTGGAAACTACGTACCAATTTTATTGTTTGGAATGATGTCTTTTATATCTGGAGCTATTTCGTTTTTGTTCCCTGAAACAAAAGATCAAAAACTACCAGATACAATAAAGCAAGTTCAGTTAGTTGAAGAGAACTAAAATTACTCTTCAACTAGTAAATTCAATAAGGTGGTACCATGGGATTAAATATTAAGTGCTAAATGAAACTAAAATATATTTTATTTTTATAATTGAATATATATCATAAAATATTAATTAATTATTATTTAAATGTTATAATAATTATCACTCAATTAGTATACATTCTATAAACTGGAAGTAGAATAAAAACTTTAAGTTCACAAGATTTAAATACTGAAGTATACCCAACTCGCTCATTTTTATACATATTTTTTTGTAATATTGTATTATTTTTTTATTTATACATTATGTAATCATGGATATTTTTTTTAAAAAATTATATTTCATTAATATTTTTTCATATTTACAATTTATATATTTGATATTTCAGTGATGTGACTCTGATTATTAAGTAATTATATAATAACATACAAAATTATTAATAATAATATTAATTAATAAAAATTAAAAAAAATTAATTTTAAATGTTTAATTATTTTATATATATTTGTATACATAAATATTTGAGAGTATGTAATAATTATTGTTATTTATAGAAACAAAATTAAATACAGTTATAATAATATGATTTAATTAAAAAATATGAGTATATACTTATTTTTATAAAAATTTTTGAAGAATTATTATTTTAACATGTTTATAATAATATAACATCTTATTATACTATTTTAAGTAAAGTATTTAATCTTTTTAATGCAATATTTAAAAAAATAAAATATAGTAACACATTTATAATACAAGTTTTTTTTTTTTTTTGTTAATGTTATTAACACCTTTGATATACAGTTAAAGAAATTATTTGTTTAAATTTATTATTTTAATAATTACAAAAAAATATTTTTCTATCAATAAATTTTGATTTGAAATAATTATAATTTTATTTGACGAATATGTCTAATATCAAACAATTAAAAATGTATACAGATATTATCAATGTTATATACGATAATTATAGCTCTTAAAGATATTGTGTCTTATATGAATAAGATTTAAGTTATCTGTATCATTTATTGTATGATAACAATTCACAGTTAACATTTTTTGGATCATATAAAATTCACTAGTACCAATTGGAAAAAATAAGGTTCATTTGATTGTAATCATTAGCATCAATTGTAATGTAAGACTTACCTTCTTTGGGGAATTATGTTTACTGCAATAGACTTATTTCTTGAAACACATATCATTGAAAATAAAACATTAATTTAAAACTAATTTTGCTATAAGTTATGAATATTTAGG